AAAAAAAAAAAAAAAAAAAGGTAAAAGTAAAAAGTTACAAAGTATAAAGGAGACTCTCTCCAGGGCTTTGTTGAAAACCATAAATGCAGAAACTGCCTCCACCCTTCCAGTATTCATCGCGACGGTGAACTCACTGAGCGTGCGGCTGGGAAGCTATGTCCAGAACATCTTCACCACGGCCAAGCTGGTGATCGTGGCCATCATCGTCATCACTGGGCTCGTGCTCCTGGCCCAAGGTGACCCACGGGAGGGCGGGCCCTGCACAGGCACACACCCAGAACCCCTTCCACTGGGAGCAGGACCAGCCTTGCCCCACCAACCCATCTCCAACGAATCGTGGCAGGAACTCAGTGGGAGGGATCCTTAGTTTCAGAGTGTTTACTAAGCTGGGGTCATCATCATGCCCGTCTTCACGTGGAGGTGCACTCAAGATCTGGCTGGCTGACACCTGCCGTTCACTGTCTGGCTTCATTACAGGAAACACAAAGAATTTTGAGAATTCTTTCGAGGGCACCCAGTTGTCTGTGGGAGCCATCAGTCTGGCGTTTTACAATGGACTCTGGGCCTACGATGGATGGTGAGGCGTCCTGGGATGTCCCGAGTCTGGGGGTGGGTGGGATTCTCCAGGCGACTTTAACTCCAGCCATCATGGAAAGCAATGAGTTCCCCTTTCTGGCGTTTGGTGTGACTCTGACATTCACCCTCACATTTCCTTTTTTGTGAAGCATGCGACAATCTCTAGCCTTTATTCCCGGAGACACCTCAGTCAGCCAGAGTGCTCTGTGTAGAACCCTCACCGGGCCAACACAAGTTCAGCTGAATTAGAGGCAGCCAGGGCCCAAGCTTGGGTTTTCTGTTGTGTTTTGTTTTGAGACCGAGTCTCACTCTGTTCCCCAGGCTGGAGTGCAGTGGCACAGTCTTGGCTCACTGCATCCTCCACCTCTGCTTCAGCCTCCCAAGTAGCTGGGATTACAGGCGCCTGCCAACATGCCCAGCTAATTTTTGTATTATTAGTAGAGACAGGGTTTCACCATATTGGCCCAGCTGGCCTCGAACTCCTGACCTCATGATCCACCTGCCTCAGCATCCCAAAGTGCTGGGATTACAGGTGTGAGCCACCATGCCCAGCTGTTTTTTTGTTTTTGTTTTAGAGACAGGCTCTCACTTGGTCACCCAGGCTGCGGTGAAATGGCATGATCACAGCTCACTGCAGCCTTGAACTCCTGGGCTGAAGCCAGCTTCCCACCTTGGCCTCCTGAGTAGCTGGGACCACAGATAGGAGCTACCACACCCTGATGATTTTTTAATTTTTGAGCTGGTCTCAAACTCCTGCACTCAAGCAATCCTCTCTCCTCGGCCACCCAAAGTGCTGGGATTACAGGCATCAGCCACCACTCCCAGCCCCAGGCTCTTGCTTAAACAAAGAATACTCAATAGCACTTCTATTTAACCCTGAAAATCATTAGGTTTGGGAGCCTCTCGGAACTTATGGTTTGGGGTGCTGTCCTACAAACAAAATACCATACAAATTTTGTACATTTATTGGGTTTAGTGGGTGAGATTGTTTTTGTCCTTTTTAGAGATGGAGTCTCACTGTCACCCAGGCTGGAACACAGTGGCATGATCTTGGCTCACTGCAACCTCCATCCCCCCAGGTTCAAGTAATTCTCCTGACTCAGCATCCTGAGTAACTGGGAGTACAGACACCTGCCACCTTGCACTGCTAATTTTTGTATTTTTTGTAGAGATGAGGTATCACCATGTTGGCCCGGCTGGTCTCGAACTCCCAACTTCAAGTGATCTGCCCGCCTTGGCCTCCCAAAGTGCTGGCCCGTTTTTGTCCTTTAAGGGAGAAGCATGACAGTCTGTGACACTGGTCCTTCTCTCCTGCAAAGCATTTCTACGTTTCATTCTCTTCTCAGAGAATATTCCATTTTTTCAAGGCACCTTGGGGACTCACTACTCGTGATTATTCTTCCAAATCTGTGTGATTCCCAAGGAGGGCAAAGACCACCAGCTGACAGATGTGTTGCTCTGGGTAAGGCCCAAGGCCCCCCCACTACCAGGGCCATTAACCTCTAAAGAAATTCACCTGGAATTCCTGCAGGAGCGTTTTCTCTCTGACAGAGAATCTTAAATGAGGCCAACATTTATTATTGTGGGTTCATAATAGAAAAATAAAGTCAAGCTGTGTCACGCTTGTTTCTTTCTTCCAGGAATCAACTGAATTACATCACAGAAGAACTGCAAAACCCTTACAGGTAACAGTTGAGTCTGCGCAGGGGACGGGGCCGGGCAGGCTGATTTCTCTTCCCTTGGTGAAGGCTGGAGCTGTTTCCCTGGTTATTCCATGATACCCTTCCCAACAGTGAATGATTTCATTTTTCTTTTCTTTTCTTTTCTTTTTTTTTTTGAGATGGAGTCTTGCTCTGTTGCCTAGGCTGGAGTGCAGTGGTACAATCTGAGCTCACTGATTTTTGTATTTTATTTTTTTTTAGTAGAGATGGGATTTTTGCCATGCTGGCCAGGCTGGTCCTAAACTCCTGACCTCAGGAGATTTCTCCTGTCTCGGCCCCTCAGGTGTGAGCCACTGCGCCCAGCCATCGATTGGTTTCTTATGTGCTCACTATGCACGCTTAGTTTGGTTTGGTTTGGTTTGGGGCAGAGCAGTGGCTGCTAGGGGGAGGAAGAGTTTGGTCTTCCTTTATCTCTGGCTTTTTTTGCTTTATAAACAGTTCCATGTGAACTGCTCTGGAGTCAGAGGCAGGATTCTCATTTGAAAATGTCTCATGTTGCTGCTGGGGTGCTGCCTGCGAATCTTCTCCCTGGGAGGGCCTCAGGGAGGGTGTCTGTCTCCCACGAGAGGCTCCGGTCTGACCATGGGTCTCTGTGTCATTGCACTTCCCAGAAACCTGCCCTTGGCCATTGTCATCGGGATCCCCCTGGTGATGGCATGCTACATCCTCATGAACGTGTCCTACTTCACCGTGATGACCACCACCGAGCTCCTGCAGTCCCCAGCCGTGGCTGTGGTGAGTGCCTCGGTGTCACTGCTGGAGGGGCCGTGGCTTATGGGAAGGGGTAAGGCAGGTGTCAGCACTGGAGCTGGGGTCCCTCCCAGCGAAGGAGGACAATAGTCATGGAAGAGCCTGGGAGACCAGACAAGTCAGGGCAGCCCCCGAGCCCCGCACGAGGTCAGGCATCAACAGAGATGGGACCAGCTGCCTGGGTGCACACAGCATGGAGCTGGAGGCAGGGCTGGGCTAGCCAGGGTTACAGTTTGACAGATAAGCATGAAGCAGAGGCAGAAAGTGCCAGGGAGTCAGGGGAGGTCATTATATTAGGTTGGTGGAAAAGTAATTGCCATTTTTGCCATTCCTTTCAACGGCAAAACGGCAATTACTTTTGTACCACCCTAAATACTAATGAATCATAGAAGCTGAGAGGTGAAAGGCCCTAGGGTCAGTGCAGCTGGAGACCTCCTGCAGTTGCCAACAGACAACCAAGTGCTGGGGATTTGGAAGGTGCTGGAGACACAGTGTGGATAACTGCTGAGGTCACTGACCACGAGACTGGGGCTGCTCAGGTAGGAGGGAGAATTCAGCCATTTCGGTTGGCGTGCAGGTTCAGGGAAGTGCGGGGTGAAGGTATCAGGATATTGACATGACCAAGAATTATGCAGCTAGGTGTGGTGGCGAGTGCCCGTGGTCCCAGCTACTTGGAACACTGAGGTGGGAGGATCGCCTGAGCCCAGGAGGCTGACTGCCTTGAGACATGATCACAGCACTGTACTCCAACCTGGGCAGCAGAATGCAATCCTGTCTCAAAAAACCCATCAAATTAAAAAATAAAGATTTGGCTGGGCACAGTGGCTCACACCTGTAATCCCAGCACTTTGGGAGGCCAAGGCAAGTGGATCACAAGGTCAGGAGTTCGAGTCCAGCCTGGCTAACATGATGAAACCCGCCTCTACTAAAAATAGAAAAATTAGCCAGGCGTGGTGGCGGGTGCCTGCAATCTAAGCTACTCGGCAGGCTGAGGCAGGAGAATCGCTTGAACCTGGGAGGCAGGGGTTGCAGTGAGCGGAGACCTCACCATTGCCCTCCAGCCTGGGAAACAAGAACAAAAGTCCATCTCAAAATAAATACATAAAATAAAATAAAGATTTATCCCAGGGAGTAGTGGATAAGAGATTTCTCTTGCTGTCACAAAATCTGGAGATAGGCGAGTGGCGTTCTCCCCTCTCCTCTGTAGTGGAGGAGTCAGAGGCTATGCCCCAAGCTGAGGTGGGTCCCTGGGTCCCCTGGGAGGCCAGAATAGCTTTTGGGGGCCGGTGGCTCTTGGAGGCCAAGAAAGACCGTCAGGACTCATGTCGTTTCTCTCACCAGACATTTGGTGACCGTGTTCTCTATCCAGCTTCTTGGGTCGTTCCACTTTTTGTGGCATTTTCAACCATCGGTGCTGCTAATGGGACCTGCTTAACATCGAGCAGGTAGGGGACTCTCGGCTGTCACTCCCAGGGTGGGCAGGGGCAGCCAAGCCAATGTCACACCCAAGGAATACACACCGCTAAAATATTCAGGGCTCTGCCAGGTGAATGAGCAAATCAAGCTAATTAACATATGCATCACCTCACATACTTATCATTTCTTTGTGGTGAGTACATTGGAAATCCACTAGCCATTTTGAAATGTACACCATTGTTAATGATAGTCACCTTGCTGTGCAATGGATCACCAGAGCTTATTCCTCCCTTCAAACAGAAACTGTAGCCGCTGACCAACATTTCCCCTTTTGCCATCTCAGGCCCCGCTTCTTTCAGCCTCTGGTAACCAATGTTCTACTCTCTATTGCTATGTTTGAAATTTTAGATTTCACGTATGTCGCAGGTGATTACAAGTATCTGGGCTCGCGGCATAGAGATAAGAATTTACCAAGACAGTTGTTGGTCAAGAAAGGCAGATTGGCCAGGCGCAGTGGCTCACGCCTGTAATCCCAGCACTTTGGGAGGTAGAGGCGGGCGAATCACCTGAGGTCGGGGGTTCGACGCCAGCCTGACAGACACGGAGAAAGCTTGTCTCTACTAAAAATACAAAATTAGCCAGGAGTGGTGGCACATGCCTGTAATCCCAGCTACCAGGGAGGCTGAGACAGGAGAATCGCTGGAACCCGGGAGGTAGAGGTTGCAGTGATCCAAGATCGCGCCAGTGCACTCCAGCCTGGGCAACAAGAGCAAAACTCCATCTCAAAAAAAGAAAAGAAAAAAAGGCAGATTTATTAGAGAAAGCAAAATACATCGTAAGGGTGCAATGGGCGGGCAGGTCAGTGAGAGAGGAGCTGACTGCAAAGTGACAAAGGCTTGCTGGGATTTTGTAGGCTGGTGCTTGTGCTGTGTGCGGAGAGGGGTACGTGAAGTACTGATAATGTGAAGGTTGCAGTGAGCTAACCGGCATTTTTCTATTAGCTGAGGGAGGGTCTGGCAATCACTGGGTGCGGGAAGACTGTGTCCTGGACCAGGAAGAAAGGCAGGCGTGTAGCTTATCTGCTTCATTTCTTTTTGCTTTCCCTTGGTCTCGCCAGCCTGACTCGTTTTCCCTAATTACAGCTCCACAACATTTAAGGGAATACCATGGGATATTTGTCTGTCTTTGTCTGGCTTATTTCACTTAGCATAGTGTTCTCTCGAGTCATCCCTGTTGTCAAAAAATGACAGAATTCCATTCTGTTTAGAGGCCGAATCGTATTCCATTGTATATGTAACATTTTTATTCGTTCATCTGTTGACAGACACTGAGGTTGTGTCTGTGTCTCGGCTATGGTGAATAACGGAATGAACATGGGAGTGCAGACATCTGACATGCGGATTTCTTTAAAGTATACTTTAAGTTCTGGGGCACATGTGCAGAATGTGCAGGTGTGTTACATAGGTACACACGTGCCATGGTGGTTTGCTGCATCCATCACCCTGTCATCTACATTAGGTATTTCTCCTAATGTTATCCCTCCCCTCTCCCCTAAGCCCCACTATCCCTCCCCTAATACCCCATCCCCAACCCACCCTGGTGTGTGATGCTCCTTCTCTGTGTCTATATGTTCTCATTGTTCTACACCCACTTAAGAGTGAGAACATGCAGTGCTTGGTTTTCTGTTCTTGTGTCAGTTTGCTGAGAATGATGGTTTCCAGCTTCATCCATGTCCCTGCAAAGGACATGAACTCATCCTTTTTTATGGCTGCATAGTATTCCACGGTGTATATGTGCCATGTTTTCTTTATCCAGTCTATCATTGATGGGCATTTGGGTTGGTTCCAAGTCTTTGCTATTGTGACCAGTGCTGCAATGAACATACATCTGCATGTGTCTTTACACTAGAATGATTTGTAATCCTTTGGATACATACCCAGTAGTGGGTTTGCTGAGTCAAATGGAATTTCGATTTCTAGATACTTGAGGAATCGCCACACTGTCATCCACAATGGTTGAACTAATTTACACTCCCACCAACAGTGGAAAAGTGTTCCTATTTCTCCACATCCTCTCCAGCATCTGTTGTCTCCTGATTTTTTAATGATTGCCATTCTAACTGGCGTGAGATAGTATCTCAATGTGGTTTTGATTTGCATTTCTCTAATGACCATGAGGATGAGCTTTTTTTCATATGTTTGTTGGCTACATAAATGGCGGCTTCTTCTTTTTTTTTTTTTTTTTTTTAAGATGAGGTTTCACCATGATGGTCAGGCTGGTCTTGAACTCCTGACCTCAGGTGATCCACCCACCTCGGCCTCCCAAAGTGCTAGGATTACAGGCGTGAGCCCAGCATAAATGTCTTCTTTTGAGGAGTGTCTGTTCATATCCTTTGCCCACTTTTTGATGGAGTTGTTTTTTTCTTGTAAATTTGTTTAAATTCTTTGTAGACTCTGGATATTAGCTCTTTGTCAGATGGGTACATTGCAAACATTTTTCCCATTCTGTTGGTTGCTGGTTCACTCTAATGATTGTTTTTTTTGCTGTGCAGAAGCTCTGGAGTTTAATTAGATCCATTGGTTTATTTTGGCTTTTGTTGCCATTGCTTTTGGTGTTCTAGTCATGTAGTCCTTGCCTTTGCCTATGTCCTGACTGGTATTGCCTAGATTTTCTTCTGGGGTTTTTATGGTGTTAGGTCTTATGTTTTAAAATCCATCCAGAGTTAATTTTTGCATAAGGTGTAAGGAAGGGATCCAGTTTCAGCTTTCTGCACATGGCTAGCCAGTTTTCCCAACACCGTTTATTAAGTAGGGAATCCTTTCTCCATTGCTTGTTTGTGTTAGGTTTGTCAAAGATCAGATGGTTGTAGATGTGTGGCGTCTCTGAGGCCTCTGTTCTGGTTCATTGGTCTGTATGTCTGTTTTGGTACCAGTCTCATGCTGTTTTGATTACTGTAGCCTTGCAGTATATTTTGAAGTCAGGTAGCTTGATGCCTCCAGCTGTTTTTGTTGTTTTGCTTAGGATTGTCTTGGCTCTGCAGGCTCCTTTTTGGTTCCCTATAAAGTTTAAGGTAGTTTTTTCCAATTCTGTGAAGAAAGTCAGTGGTAGCTTGATGGAGATAGCATTGAATCTATAAATTACTTTGGTCAGTATAGCCATTTTCATGATATTGATTCTTCCTAACCATGAGGATGGAAGGTTTTCCATCTGTTTTGAGTCCTTTCTTATTTCCTTGAGCAGTGGTTTGTAGTTCTCCTTGAGGAGGTCCTTCACATCCCTTGTTAGTTGTATTCCTAGGTATTTTATTCTCTTTGTAGCAATTGTGAATGGGAGTTCATTTATGATTTGGCTCTCTGTCTGTTATTGGTGTATAGGAATGCTTGTGATTTTTGCACATTGATTTTGTAGCTTGAGATTTTGCTGAAGTTGCTTATCAGCGTAAGGAGATTTGGGGCTGAGACAACGCGGTCTTCTAAATACACAATCATATCGTCTGCAAATAGAGACAGTTTGACTTCCTCTTTTCCTAATTGATTACACTTTATTTCTTTTTCTTGCCTGATTGCTCTGGCCAGAACTTCCAATACTATGTTGAAGAGGAGTGGTGAGAGAGGGCATCCTTGTCTAGTGCCAGATTTCAAAGGGAATGTTTGCATTTTTGCCCATTTAGTATGATAATGGCAGTGTGTTTGTCATAAATAGCTCTTATTATTTTGAGATATGTTCCATTGATACCTAGTTTATTGAGAGTTTTTAGCATAAAGTGCTGTTGAATTTTGTTGAAGGCCTTCTCTGCATCTATTGAGATAATCATGCGGATTTTGTCTTTGGTTCTGTTTGTGATGGATTACATTTATAGATTTGCATATGTTGAACCAGCCTTGCATCCAGGGATGAAGCCAAATTGATCGTGTTACATAAGCTTTTAGCTGTGCTATTGGATTCAGTTTGCCAGTACTTTATTGAGGATTTTCGCATGTTCATCATGGATATTGGCCTGAAGTTTTCTTTTTCAGTTGTGTCTCTGCCCCAGGATAATCTTGGTCTCATAAAATGAGTTAGAGGGGATTCCCTCTTTTTGTATTGTTTGGAATAGTTTCAGAAGAAATGGTACCAGCTCCTCTTTGTACCTCTGGTAGAATTCAGCTGTGAACCCGTCTGGTCCAGGGCTTATTTTGGTTGGCAGGCTATTAATTGCTGTCTCAACTTCAGCCCTTGTTATTGGTCTATTTAGGTATTCAACTTCTTCCTGGTTTAAGCTTGGGAGGGTGTAATTGTCCAGGAATTCATCCGTTTCTTCTAGATTTACTGATTTATTTGCATACAGTTGTTTGTAGTAATCTGATGGTAGTTTGTATTTCTGTGGGATTGGTGGAGATACCCCTTTTACCATTTTTTATTCCATCTATTCAATTCTTCTCTCTTTTCTTCTTTATTAGTCTGGCTAGTGGTCTATGTATTTAGTTGATCTTTTAAAAAAAAAAAAACAGCTCCTGGATTTATTGATTTTTTTGAAGGGTTTTCTGTGTCTCTGTCTCCTTCAGTTCTGCTCTGATCTTAGTTACTTCTTGCTAGCTCTGAATTTGTTTGATCTTGCGTCTCTAGTTCTTTTAATCATGACATTAGTGTGTTGATTTTAGATCTTTCCTCCTTTCTCCTGTGGGCATTTAGTGCTATAAATTTCCTCTGGAAAATGCTTTAAATGTGTCCCAGAGATTCTGGTACATTGTGTCTTTGTTCTCCTGGTTTCAAAGAACATCTTTATTTCTGCCTTCATTTCATTATTTATCCAGTAGTCATTCAGGAGCAGGTTGTTCAGTTTCCATGTAGTTGTGCAGTTTTGAGTGAGTTTCTTCCTGAGTTCTAATGTGATTACACTGTGGTCTGAGAGACTATTTGTTATGATTTTTGTTCTTTTGCATTTGCTGAGGAGCAATTTACTTCCAGTTATGTGGTCAATTTTAGAATAACTGCAATGTGGTGCTGAGAAGAATGTATATTCTGTGGATTTGGGGTGCAGAGTTCTGTAGATGTCTATTATGTTCACTTGGTCCAGATCTGAATTCACGTCCTGGATATCCTTATTAATTTTCTGTCTTGTTGATCTAATATTGACAGTGAGATCTAATAAAGTCTCCCATTATTATTGTGTGGGAGTCTCTCTTTGTAGGTCATTAGGAGTTGTTTTATGAATCTGGGTGCTCCTGTATCGGGTGCATGTATGTTTGGAAGCTCCTCTTGTTGCACTGATCCCTTTACCATTATGTAATGCCCTTCTTTGTCTCTTTTGATCTTTGTTGGTTTAAAGTCTGTTTTATCAGATACTAGGATTGCAACCCCTGCTTTTTTTTTGCTCTCCATTTGCTAGGTAAATCATCTTCAACACCTTTATTTTGAACCTATGTGTGTCTTTGCACGAGATATGTCTCCTAAACATAGTACACCGATGGGTCTTGACTCTTTATCCAATTTGCCAGTCTGTGTCTTTTGGTTGGGAGATTTAGCCCATTTACATTTAAGGTTAATATTGTTATGTGTGAATTGGATCCTGCCATTTTGATGCTAGCTGGTTGTTTTGCCTGATAGTTGATGCAGTTTCTTCATAGTGCCAATGGTCTTTACCATTTGGTATGTTTTTGCAGTGGCTGGTACTGGTTGTTCCTTTCCATGTTTAGTGCTTCCTTCAGGAGCTCTTATAAGGCAGGCCTGGTGGTGGTGAAATCTCTCAGCAGTTGCTTGTCCGTAAAGGATTTTATTTCTCCTTCAGTTATGAAGCTTAGTTTGGTTGGATGTGAAATTCTGGGTTGAAAGTTCTTTTATTTAAGGATGTTGAATATTGGTCCCCACTCTCTTCTGGCTTCTAGGGTTTCTGCCAAGAGATCCACCGTGAGTCTGATGGGCTTCCCTTTGTGGGTAACCCGACCTTTCTTGCTGGCTGCCCTTAGCATTTTTTTCCCTTCATTTCAACCCTGGTGAATCTGACGATTATGTGCCTTGGGGTTGTTCTTCTCAAGGAATATCTTTGTGGTGTTCTCTGTATTTCCTGAATTTGAATGTTGGCCTGCCTTGCTAGGTTGGGGAAGTTCTCCTGGATTATATCCTGAAGAGCGTTTTCCACCTTGGATTCATTCTCCCTGTCACTTTTAGGTACACCGATCAAACATAGATTAGGTCTTTTCACATAATCCCATATTTCTTGGAAGCTTTGTTTATTTCTTTTCACTCTGTTTTCTCTAATCTTGCCTTCTTGGTTTTTTTCATTGAGTTGATCTTCAATCTCTGATATTCTTTCTTCCCCTTGATTGATTTGGCTATTGAAACTTGTATATGCTTCATGAAGTTCTTGTGCTGTGTTTTTCAGCTCCATCAAGTCATTTATGTTCTTCTCTACACTGGTTATTCTAGTTAGCATTTCATCTAACCTTTTATCAAGGTTCTTAGCTTCCTTGCATTGGGTTAGAACATGCTCCTTTAGCTTGAAGAAATTTGTTATCAGCCACCTTTTGAAGCCTGCTTCTGTCAATTTGTCAAACTCATTCTCCATCCAGTTTTGTTCCCTTGCTGATGAGGAGTTGTGATCCCTTGGAGGAGAAGAGGCATTCTGGTTTTTGGAGATTTCAGCCTTTTTGCGCTGGTTTCTTCCCATCTTCATAAATTTATCTACCTCTGGTCTTTGAAGTTGGTGACTTTTGGATGTGGTCTCTAAGTGGATGTCCTTTCTGTTGATGTTCAAACTATTTCTGTTTGTTAGTTTTCCTTCTAACAGTTAGGTCCCTCTGCTGCAAGTCTGCTGGAGTTTGCTGGAGGTCTACCCTAGACCCTGCTTGTCTGGGAATCACCCACGGGGGGCTGTAGAACAGCAAAGATTGCTGCCTATTCCTTCCTCTGGTAGCTTCATCCCAGAAGGGTACCCGCCAGATGTCAGCCAGAGCTCTCCTGTCTGAGGTGTCTCCTTGTCAGGATACACGGGGTCAGGGAGCCACTTGAGGAGGCAGTCTATCCCTTATCGGAGCTTTAGTGCTGTTCTGGGAGATCCGTTGCTCCCTTCAGAGCTCAGTTCGAAATGCAGAGATCACTTGCCTTCTGCATCGCGCTCGCTGGGAACTGTGGACTGGAGCGGTTCCTATTCAGTCATCTAGGCAGAGATCCTCTGACATGTAGATTTCAATTCATTCAAATATATACCCAGAGGTACATGGGAGTGCAGATATTTGACATACGGATTTCAGTTCATTCAAATATATACCCAAGGCTGGGTGCAGTGGCTCACACCTGTAATCCCAGCACTTTGGGAGGCCGAGGCGGGCAGATCACTTGAGGTCAGGAGTTCAAGGCCAACATGGTGAAAACCCTATCTCTACTAAAAATACAAAAATTAGCGGGGCATAGTGGCAGATGCCTGTAATCCTAGCTACTCAGGAGGCTGAGGCAGGAGAATCACTTGAACCTGGGAGGCAGAGTTTGTAGCAAGCTGAGATCACACCAGTGCACTCCAGCAGTGACACAATCATGGCTCACTGCAGCCTCACACTCCTATGCATAAGTGATCCTCCCACTGCCTCTCAAGTAGCTGGGACTACAGGGCCTGTGCCACCATGCATGGCTAATATTAAGTTGTTTTGTAGATGTGAGGTCTTACTGTGTTACCCAAGCTGGTCTCAAACTCCTGGCCTCAAGCAGCCCTCTCACTTCAACCTCCCACAGTGTTGGGATTACAGGCATGAGCTACAGTGGCTGGCCTGATATCAATTTATTATTTTATATTTTATCTTATTTATCTTTCTGAGACAGAGTCTTGCTCTGTCAATTAGGCTAGAGTACGGTGGTGCAATCTTGGCTCACTGCAACTTACACTTCCAGGTGAAAGTGATTCTCCTGCCTCAGCCTCCCAAGTAGCTGGGATTACAGGTGCCCGCCACCACACCCGACTAATTTTTGTATTTTTAGTAGAGACAGGGTTTCACTATGTTGGTCAGGCTGGTCTTGAACTCCTGACCTCAAGTGATCCACTCGCCTTGGCCTCCTGAAGTCCTGGGATTACAGGCATGAGCCACTGCGCCTGGCATCAATTCTTTAGAAGTTTGAAAATGCCCGTCGTAGCTCACTGATATTTTTATGTTTCCCATGGTCTTGAAGATAATGTGTACTCCGTAATTACATGTAGATTTTTATATGATCAAGATTGTAACTTGTAATGTTGAAATCTTGCATTCAGATTGGATGATTTGCCAATTTTTGTTTTCTGTGTTTCAAGGACTCCTGTTTTGTTGTTGAGATGGAGTCTTGCTCTGTTGCCCAGGCTGGAGTGCAGTGGTACAATCTCGGCTCACTGCAACCTCTGCCTCCCAGGTTCAAGCAGTTTTCCTCCCTTAGCCTCTGGAGTAGCAGGGATTACAGGCACCCACCACCATGCTTGGCTAATTTTTTTATTTTTAGTAGAGATGGGGTTTCACCATGTTGGTCAGGCTGGTCTTGAACTCCTGACCTCAAGCAGTCCACCTGCCTTGGCCTCTCAAAGTGCTGGGATTACAGGTGTGAGCCACCATGCCCGGCCATGGCTCTTGTTTTTTATATCTTCTTGATGAATGGTTCCCTTTTTCAGTAGAAATTTTTTTTTTTGAGACAGAGTCTCATTCTGTCACCCAGGCTGGAGTCTGGAGTGCAATGATGTGATATCAGCTCAATGCACCCTCCACCTCCCAGGCTCCAATGATTCTCCTGCCTCCGCCTCCCGACTAGCTGGGACTACAGGTGTGCACCACCATGCCGAGCTAATTTTTTGTATTTTTAGTAGAGACAGGGTTTCACCATGTTGGCCAGGCTGGTCTCAAACTCCTGACCTCAAGTGATCCACCTGCCTCGGCCCCCCAAAGTGATGGGATTACAGGCATGAGCCACTGTACCTGGCTCACATTTTTAATTATGGTAACTTTTTCAAGAAATTCAGGTTAGCCAGGGGATACCAGAGGCTTAAAAGGCTAGAGGGAAGGAGAGACAGGGAGAGACTTGCTAGAGGATACAAAATTACTGCTAGACAGGAGGTATAGGTTCTAGTGTTTTACACGCTGCAGGGTGGCTACAGCTCACATTCATATTAATATATAGCTTCAGATAGCTAGAGGAGGACATTGAATATTCCCAACACAAAGAAATGGTAAATTAAAGAAAATATTTAGTTATTGCAGAGATGGGATCTCACTGTGTTGCCTAGGCTGCCCTCTAACTCCTGGGCTCAAGTGATCCTCCCGCCTTGGCCACCCGAGGTGCTGGGATTACAACTGTGAGCCACTGCACCTATTCTTTGAGTGCATTTAACCTCCTCACTCACTCTGCCAAAACCCACTCCTCTCCCGCGGACAGACGCCCATGAGAAGCCCAGGTGCGCGCTCAGCAACCTTCCTGAGCCTCCCGAGGGCTCCTTAGCGGACTCTGGAGCACACGTCCTTGGTGGCACTGGACTGATGGCCTGCACTCCAGTCAGTAGACTCCCGTGTCATTATTTTCCAGACTCATTTACGTGGCGGGCCGGGAGGGCCACATGCTCAAAGTGCTTTCTTACATCAGCGTCAAGCGCCTCACTCCAGCCCCTGCCATCATCTTTTATGTGAGTACAAATCCCGCTAACAGCCCATCTTCAAGGCGGGGGCCCTCCATCCACGGGGAGGATTAGCCCTGCCCTGCTAAGCCCGGTGGCCTCCAAATGACCCAGATGGGCTTATTCCTTGCCATCAAACAGATATGGAAAGAATCCCAAGACGAGTCAAACAATGTGCCCAATAGCTGCTCCTTTGTCTGAATTTATCCACGGAAGGCATGGTTTGTGCCCTCAATGCCTCTGTGTGCATTTGTCTGTGCCTCGACCCTGGTAACGAACTCTATATAAAAGCCCACTAGCTTACAGGGAAGGAGGGTAAGACATTTTACCAGGAGGTTACTGACAGCCACCTCTCATTATGGTCTAATGATTGAGAAGTCACTGGATCCTTGTACAATAAATGCCCTTTGACATCTCGTTTTTTATTGAGACCGAGTCTTGCTGTGTCACCCGGGCTAGAGTGCAATGATATGATCTCGGCTCACTGCAACCTCTGCCTCCTGGGTTCAAGCGATTCTCCTGCCTTGGCCTCCCAAACAAACAGCTGGGATTAAAGGCACACGCCACTGTGCTTGGTTGGTTTTTGTATTTTTAGTAGAGACGGGATTTTATCATGTTGGCCAGGCTGGTCTCGAACTCCTGACCTCAAGTGATCCACCCGCCTCAGCCTTCTGAAGTGCTGAGATTACAGGTGTGAGCCACTGTGTCTGGCCACCCCTTTGACATCCTCTGATGGGAACTGCTCCGTGGTGCATGGTCCTTGTTTGGTGCAATTGTCTGGGCACCGAGCAACCGTCCACATTCCCAGCCTCAGGGGTGGTCTACACCCCTCCCCCAGAGGAGAACCGCTGCGCTCTATCACTCTGAAGGCAGGAAAACACAGCTGGGAAATGCCAGTCCAGGGCCACGCAACTAACATAGACCACGAGTAGACCTGAGCTTCCAGTCCAGGGCCGTGGCCCACACTGAAAACGCCCTGTGAGGAAAATTCGCAAGTATGAAGCTGATATAATATTAATACATATTAGGTTAGTGCAAAAGTAATTGTGGTTTTTGTCATTACAAAATGGAATTATGGATCAGGTGCAGTGGCTCACGCCTGTAATCCCAGTACTTTGGGAGGCTGAGGCGGGCGGTTCACGAGGTCAAGAGATTGAGACCATCCTGGCCAACATGGTGAAACCCCACCTCTACTAAAAATACAAAACCTAGCTGGGCATGGTGGTACATGCCTGTAGTCCCAGCTACTCGGGAGGCCGAGGCAGGAGAATTGCTTGATCCCGGGAGGCGGAGGTTGCAGTGAGCCAAGATCGCACCACTGCACTCCAGCCTGGTGACAGAGGGAGACTCTGTCT